TTCACCAGAGAGCTGTTGGCCAAGATCCCACTGAATCCTAGAGCGTTTCCAATCATTTCATTTGAATGGCCATCTACATATAATCTTATAACAAATCAATTAGCATAACATTGGGGGAATTAAATTGGAATCTTCTTATGATTCACCTTTTTCAAGCTGCTATACATTATTCTCCTCCATGTTATTCTGACAACAATCCTGTTAGGCAAATTAGTTTGGGAGAGAGTTATTGACCTCATTATTACTGAATGATTAGAAGATTGCAAACTTGGTTATTTGAATTTGGGATCACCCCAATTCTAATTAAAAGCTCTCAGCCTAACAACACTAGTTTGAGATCCTACATTTTTGCAAGTAATATGCTATAGGAGACTTCTGTTTCTATTTTTTTTTTAGCTCTAAGTTTGAAAATCTTAGTAAGAGCTCTATCACAATGAATATTTTTTTTTTTTACAGCTTCTCTCCTCCTGCCAATGGAAATCAACCTGAGCGGGATTAGCAATAGAGCTGACTATGAGCTATCATTTAAAAGGTTATGTAAAGTTGTGCTATGGTTTTTCAAAGTACTGGATTTTTCACCATCATGAATACAGATTTCAGTTCAATTCATGAATACAGACTTTGCAATTCCACTTTTGATTTCAAACGCATTTCAATGCAGAATACATTTCCCAGTGTTTACATATCTGGTCATGTTCTATATATACAATTTAACTCTCAGTTAGACACAGGAGTATAATTTACTGAGTTTCCAGCGCAAGCTGCACTGAAATGAATGGTGGGTATGTGCAAGAGCATCATTGTGATTTGTGCCATTCCCAGTCATGTCAGTGGGGCTTGCCTTGGACATACATACTTCATCATTGGAAACAAAACAAGAATAGATTACCCTTTCAGAAACACAAAGGAAATGCAGTTTGGGGAGCATGTTATATGTCTGATTTTAATTAATCCCTATCAGAAATCCATTGGACTTTGTCAATTCACATTCAAAGATACACATTTTGTGATACTTTTGAAACATCTGTCAAAAGTGACTCAATACATGGCTAAATATATGAAAGATTTGTTTCTTGTTTGCCAATGCAAGGCAAAAAAGAGATTTTTTTTGGGTACAAGGAGAGTTGCACCAGTTGATTTTTTTTAGGTTTGTTTTTTAAATACCGTTATTGATTGTCCTCCATGCTTCAAATGTATACTTTTGAACTAAGATTGCTAGATCATTTCTCTAAATGGTTATTTTTACATGCGCTTGCTTTCTTGATATGAAAAATGTAATTTATTTGAAAGGTTTTTACACAAAGAATCTGTTTTAAAATATATCACACAGAACTTTCTATTGATTTATTCTTTGAAATAAAAATATTTTCCCTGCTTTTTTCAAATTTATTTATTTTTTATTTACCATTTGTGCTGATGATGGACATGACGAACCTGTAACATAAACTAATGAGGGGATGTGGGGTATACATGATCAGCTTGCTTTTTTTTTATTCTAGTTGGTGTAGAACTTAAGCATAAATGCAAAGAAAAGACAAGCTTGGAATCCCAAGATACAAAAAGGAGATAACTAAGGACCAAACATGAAGAGGAATATTAAAATTTTTTGATATTTAATAAAAGAGAGCAAAAAGCTCCAAATTATCATGCTTCCATAGAGCAATTTTGTATAATCTGCCACCCACGCTGGCTGAGAATCTTGGATGTTGCAACTTCAACAGTTGGAGGCAAATGGTTGGGGAAGGTTATCTAATAATATAACTTACATGAAATCATATATGTATGAATATATCTAAGTTTATTTTAATCTTTTGACTGCCTCTTACCTCTTTAAAGCAGAGGCTTTATGCTTGGTGTCTTTGCCTGTTTTATTTCAGAATCTGTCAACCTTTCCCAACCTGATTCATTTCAGATATGTAGGGATTGTAAGGCCCGCAATTCTCAGGTAGTGGCCAGTGGAGATGTATCCTAACAGATCAGCAGGCTACATTTGAGGTATCTTATATTTAGATTAACATCTCTCAACCCCAGCAACTTTCAGACCTGTGGACTTCAACTCCCAGAATTCTCCAGCCAGCATGCACTAATCTAGACTCATTTTCTTCATCAAGCCACACAATTTAGCAATTATTAATCTGAATATTAATAAAGTTTAAAGCATCCCTCAGTTTCACGTTACTGTTGCCAAAGTAATTCCTTTTTGCTCTTATAATAATAACTTCTAGTGTTGAGTCTGAAACATATTTGTCAACCAGTAAGCCCAATGAGTTACTGGGACTTAGCAGTTGCATTAAAGACCATCTCTGCAATATTGTGTGCAAAATTTATTTGGTGCATTGTTAATACACCAAATTGTTAATGACAATTCAAGGCTCCCACATATTTTTATATTAGTTAAAGTATCTTGAATTCACCCTACAGATAGCTGATAACTATCTGTAACTTTCCAGAATGCTGTTTTCTTGGCATTTTTTTGTAAGCATATGTCCCTTTGGTTTACTTGTTTGTGTGGAATGAACATTTTACTGGCTGAAATTGTTCAGTTTACTGGTAATTTGAATGAATAAATACAGTAATATTGGAAGGGCTTCCTAAGTAACTGGATAATTGAGCAAATGTGAAAAATATCCACACTTACGCAGAATCATGTGCAAAGGATTGTTATAACCTTTAACAGTTTTTAAGATAAACATGTGCTTATTGCTTTTGTCTGTGCATGGTGCGTGCATTAGAAGTGGAAGGACAGTACAGCTCGAATTGACAAGAATTACATTCAAGACCAACAGCTATTTGACACCAGAAAAAATACTGATTTGACAAGTGATGGGTGGTTGTTTTCATGGATGCAGTGCATTATTTACAGAGATCCATTTCAGTTTGCCAAGTCCTGTTATTTGTAATGTAATTACTCATGATAGATAAGTGCAGTGCACTCTACTTATCCCCAAACTGTGAAAATCTGATACAAAATATTTTTTCCCAAGGCCTACCTTCTTACCTTCCTTTTTTAATAAATGGCTCATGTTAAAAAGTTTTTCTATCTGCTGTCACAGGCACTCACGTTGAATGCATCTTTGTAAGCCTTTTTTCAGGGAATGAAATAGAAAAAGGAAAAGATGCTTTACTTCCTCCAATATTTTTTTGAATTAGGCTGATCTGAGCTTCAGGTCACATTGACTCTGAGTTACCCTTTCATATATGCTTCTTGGTCAATGCTGAAGGGCCATGAATTAAGGTGCCTAACCCTTAGACTGGCTAAAGTCCACATCACCTTGTCCCCTGCATGTGAATGCACTATTCTACAAAAAGAAGTCAAGCTTTCAAAGATTTTATAGGTGTGCAAGTTAATGTTAATGTTACACTATATTACAGTAACAAAGGACAAACATTATGTGTTATCATCACAGTTATCGTGCAGCTTGTTACCAGGTGGGTAACAAATCACAGATGTGACGAGGCACAAATAAGGAGAGTGTTTGTTTTTAAAGTGCTAGTGTTTTAAAAATACATTCTCTGTTCTTCTTGATTCCACCCTTGTCATGACATTAACATAAAGTGCTTTGTAATACCAGCAAAATGAAAGGAAATAGTAGGAATTATAAATCCAAGCTGGTGTAGCTGTTTGTGTTTTTGTCAGAAACGGCCTGTTTCAAAATAAAATGGAAATGTATTAAGATCATGGCCTTTATTCTCTTGATATTTATACCCTCCTTCCTACTGTTAAATTCCAGAAGTGCCTATCTTGATGTATATCACTCCAGATGGCAGGAGGATCATTCCTTGGAAATAACTTTTTTTGCATATTTATGTATTTATAACTTGCATATTTTTGCATTCTACATTATTTAAGTGCAAAATGTGGTAGAAATAAACTTGTTGCTTAGTGAACAGGTTAGGTGTAACTCACTTCCCCTCCCCTGTCTATGATGTGCAAATAATTCAGGGAGAAGAAATGGAATATCTTTCCAATATTACTTAATTTCTTTTGTGCTGGAATTGTTCTCAAAGCTAATATGGATTCTTGGTTCAGGCTGCCATTTCTGGCTTTTGTTGTTGTTTTGCCGCTGTTCCTTAGTTTCCCAACTGTTGAGGTTTGGGTGATACCTTCCAAGGATACCCTTCTCCAACACACAAAAGATTAGATCCACCTGATTTATTTATTTTCAAGAATACATAAAAACATCCATTCATAAAAAAGTATGAAAATCTCTTTTTAAACATCTTACCATATTTAAGTTTGAAAACTATCCTCCTAATCCCAAGTTAAAAACTACATCCCTGATCTCGGATTTTGTATGACTTTTAGCAGAGTCATTTTTTTTTTACATATAACTTTGAAGGGATATTTTGGATTTAGTACAAGTGGTGCAACTCACCCTGCTGATTTTTTTAAAAATAAAAAAATAGATTTTAATGCATCTAGAAATACAGAGAGAAATGTTTAAAAGTTTATTTCTCAATTCACTGCATTTGTGATTTCATAAGCCTACCCTAGCCCTGTTCGTCTTCAGACCTTGTATTCATCAGAGAAAAAGACATGGATGGGGATGTTTGGAATAGTTACCTTTAAGCATAACGTGTTGCGTTTCTGATCACATCTACCATTTGTTCCAGTATTTGACTACAGATGTCTAGATCACTTTAAGATGACAATGCAATTCAGATACTGGTATTGCCATAAAAGAGGTCTATGTTAAAGGAGTGAATGAATGGAAGAATTGGTCACACTGACTTCTGTAAAGGAAGTTGAAAGGAGATCAATTTATGATCAAGATGTGCACAAACTTCATTTTACTTAATGACTGTAGTGTGGTTGGAGTAAGAATTTGGAGTAGATTCGGAGGAGGTATTATCCTTAATCCCATTTCAAGACATCCTTCTGATTTTTACAAAACAGGTGGCTTCTTCAGTCAAAAGTTCATGCCATGCAGAATCTTTTCTTTGTGTGTTGAGTGTAAAGGCATTCCTGTCAGTTGTTAACCAACATTCTGCAGCACTGATCAGATATTTTTATCATGTTTGTTACTATGTCCTCCTCCTCCACCACCTGGTAATATGTGAACCTCAGGTGAAATATGATTATCTAATTTGATAGTTTCCTGGTTAGCATGGGTTCTTCCAGTGATATTTTCCATGGAATAAAGGCAATTTTGCCCTAAAAACCTGGGTGTAGAGGACAATGCAGCAGTTGCTAAGTGGTCCTTCTCGGTTTTACTAACATTATCTCGTTGCCTTATATAGCCTCTCTGAGAAGTGTTGTATTTGGGGCTAGTATGTCCTGAAGGGGCTTTTGGAGGACTTGAGTCATAGAGCAACTGACCTTCATCATCTGTGTCAGCATCAATAAATTTATGAATGCCAGCATCATGGAAGTTAAGAACAATCGGTGTCTGTTTCTCAGGTGACTTTGTAGGGGTTCTAGCACTTGCAGTCGTATAAATAGAAGTTTCTGGACTCATTAGAGATCGATCAGAATATCCAGAGCTATCTGTGGCAGCACATGTAGCTCCCCTGTTCTTGATGGTATCTGGGTATATTCTTAGGACATTTGAAGCTGCTGGCCCTATAGCATCCTCTTCCATAAAATTAACCTTTAGAGATCTCAGTTTTAGAGGATTAATGAGTTTTATTGAACTTTTGGGGCTCTCTATGAAAAAGGTAGAGCAATGGCCACTTTCCAGATTTGGTTTTATTTCCATGAATTTGGACCCACTTCCTTCCAACCTATATGGGTCCTGAAGGGGAAGTTTTCCACCTTTGCTGGTCAGTGTAGTCAGTGGGCTATGAGAATATCTCCCAGCTTCAGGAAATTCAGTCATGCAGCTTATATAACTGTCAATGCTTGACATGCTTCTCATGTCAATTATTCCATCTGCCCGAGTAGTCAACAAAGGGACCATTGGGCCAGGAATGGCCTCCATTTCTAGTTCTTCTTTTTGCTTGCTGGGTTGAGCTGTCTCCTTTAAATTGAGATTTGGCTGTGACTGAGCTTTTGTCATTTTGTTGTACATGTCTTCGAGTTGCTGAACATTCAGGTGCTGAGGACTGGAGGAAGACCTAGCTTTTTCAGGTGATCCTTGTTCCTTTGTCTCCAAAGATTTATTGGAGCTAGTTTCAGAGATTGATCTTTTGGCCCATTTCCATTTGCTTGGGGATAAATGATTGTCCTGAACTTTATCTTTTTTGCCTGCATTTTCTCCTTTCTTTTCAACAACTATGTCCATCAATTCTACACTACGTGCAAAAGCATCCTTCATATTCATGGACACAATGCTTCCATTCCTTTTGGCTCTTTCAAGGGCTTCCCTACGCTTAATGGCTTTTTCCTGCCTCTTCTGTTCTTTGTAGAACTCTGAAAAGTTATTTACAATGATCGGGATTGGAAGGGCAATCACTAAGACTCCAGCAATACAGCATAACCCACCAACAATCTTACCTAAAAGAGTTTTAGGGTAGATGTCTCCATAACCAACAGTTGTCATAGTTATTGTTGCCCACCAGAACGATGCTGGTATGCTCTTGAATTTTGTATCTTCCTCATCTTTTTCTGCAAAAAACACTAAGCTTGAAAAGATCATAATGCCCATGGCCAAAAACAAAATAAGTAATCCAAGTTCATTGTAACTTCTCCTCAATGTAAATCCCAGAGATTGCAAACCAGTTGAATGCCTGGCCAGCTTTAGAATACGGAGTATTCGCATGATTCGAAATATCTGGACTACCCTCCGGACGTTTTGGAACTGAAGTACACTTTTGTTGGATTCTGTGAGGAAGATGGTGACATAATAGGGCAAGATTGCTAACAAATCAATGGCATTCAGTGGTCCTTTGAAAAATTTCCATTTCTTAGGAGAAGAGAGGAAACGCAAGAGATATTCCATTGTAAACCATGCGATGCACACTGCCTCTACGTGGGCTAGCTGAGGGTTATCTGTAGGATTTTCATACTCATCTTTGTCCTGAAGCTCAGGCAGAGTGTTTAGAGACAAGGCAATTGTAGAGAGCACAATGAACATGATGGAAATAATGGCCAAAATCTGCAAAAGAAAGAAGAAAAGTAGTCAGTACCACAAAGAAATTACATAGTATTCTTTTGATTTATATATTGTTTTTTCTTGGATATTGGCTATTAGCCATCCATTACTTATTTAAGGACAGCCATATAAATTTCTAAATAAATAAACAAATAAACAAATAAAACTGAAATAGGGGTTGTAATGATTTCTAGAATCTCTTTCAGCTCCATAGTTCTTGATTCCCAGACTGTCTTCCATCTAAGTATCAATCATGCCTCATCTTGCCTAGTTTTTGAGATGAGAAAACTGTAGGTCCTCAATTTACTTTAAAAGGCATTACAGCATAATTTCACAACATTAAAGTCTAAAATGAACTTTTTTTTTATGACAAGCCAAGTCTGCTTCAAAGGTGAATGGTATGCATGATACCAAGGTCTTATTGTACAGTCACTGCATATGTTCCTGTCCAGGGATTTATATTCCACTCAAATGGCTTACATCCTTCAAAAATACTAGCAACACATAATAAAACTGTAATGTGTGATGTAAAATATCAGCCACCTAATAAAACAGCAATACAAAATAATATACAAAACACAATCAAAGCACAGTGCTAAGGCCCAGCACATTGTATATAATCTACTTGATCAGATAAAAACTGGATGGAACAATTTTTCATTAAACAGTGAAATTAAACAAGAGTGAAAGAGGACAACTTATTTCATAATTTGGGTGTGGCTACCAAGACCATCCTTTCCCTTGTCCAGAATAAGTATGCATTATGAATACTATTATATTGTAAATAATATTGTCTTTTATCCTTAGGCTTTTCCCATCTCTAAATTGGGAGGAGTTGTTTTATAAGTTCTAATTATAAGATATGGCAGGAAAACAGTTAATAGTCAAGAGGTGAAAATGGCTGCAGAAATTTCCTTGGGAAGAGCGAGTCTCTTCTTTATTACTTGTCCAGCGAATGTTTACTCTTTTTAAAACTCCGAGACAGGATTTACAATTTGCAGCTTCTGTTGGATAATGAGATTGGGAATGTGTATATGCAGTGCTTTTTTTGAAGGAAAAAAAAAGGTGCTAGAACTCACATACATTATACAACCCGCCTTGCCTACCCTACAAGGTTCCATCCCAAAAAGGTGCCGGAACTCCGTTCTGGGTGTTCTATGACAAAAAAAAGCCCTGTGTGCATGTGTCTGTGCTTGTGAGTTTCAATGTGAGAAAAAAATCTTTATGTTTGTGAAAGTTCAAACATACAGTAAGCAGATTGAGAAAATGGGTTCATTATTTATTTATTTAAATTTATTATAGCTCCCCGGTTCAGTAGACCCTGGGCAGCTCTAAGTAAATGGGCTTTCTTATTTTTAGAGACAATTTAAATTAATTATTATGAATGCAATTAATAATAATATTTTGGCATTACCCTGCCCCCTTTTTGGAGTGCTTCTACTAGCATCTATACACTTGGATGTATACATGTATTTCACATATATATTTATTAGCAGGAGGTCTGGTTTCAGATGCAGTTTCAAAGTCTAGGTCCGTGGTGGCGAACCTATGGCACACGTGCCACAGGTGGCACACAGAGCCCTCTCTGTGGGCACGCGCACTTAAGCCCCAGTCCTAGGCCTTCAGCTGGGTTTTATAAAACCTTTTCACTTTAGGCCTCCACTGCTGTGTGCAAAAAAAAAAAAAGGTTCAACCAATCAATCAATTTTAACTTCTCGCGGGAAAAAAAAGGTCTTGCAAAGTTGGAATTGATTGATTGAACGTTTTAGTCCCACCCAGTCTGCTGTTACCACCGCAACCACGCCCACCCAATGGGCCATGTCCACCCAATGGGCCACACCCATGCAATGGGCCATACCCACACAGCACCCAACGATACATAAGTGGGTTTTGGGTTGCAGTTTGGGCACTCGGTCTCTAAAAGGTTTGCTATCACTGGTCTAGATTGACAAGATGGGATGCTTGGTCATTGCATAGGATTTGTGTTTATCATTTTTTTCCCTGTCTACTTTCCCTTCTTAGAGGCAAATCAGTTTAAATTCAGCCTGTCTTCTGTAGACTAAATATAGTTAAGTATCAACAGAAGCCTCTTAAATGATCAAACACTGAAGGCACTAAATCCATGATAATATTAAAGAGGATGATTTAAAGCATTTCAGGTTTTTGTCTTTACACTGGTTCAGTAGCACTGTTGATATTATTGAAGTAACACTGTATTGTCAAAATACTGTAACTCTTATTACATGTGTGAAACAACATTTAGGAACTTTTCCTATTATGCTGTTGTTGACCAAATTTTCTTATGCTTCATCTGCCCAAATGCAGCATGGATTTTGTAGTTTAACCTCAGATAATTTTCTAGTCCATTGCAAAAAAAAAATTGGCTCTTATCAGCACTTCTGTCTTGAAGTATAATATGTAGACAAGCAGATTCTGGGAACACAAAGTAACAGCTGGTTTCAGGAAAACTCTTTAATTACTTAAGCCTTGTAAATCAAGACGTCTCACATTTAATTTTGGGACTTTGGGACAATCAGTGCTAAAGAGATCAGGAGTACTAAACATATTTCTAAGTAAAGGCTATTGATTGTATGAATCAAACACATATTTCTTCTAAATTTTTCCATTACAAGCATCTTTTCATCATATTTCACAAGACCTAGAATGAAACTGCTATTAAGCCAGGTCAGCATTATCATTAAGCACAGGAAAATGAATGTCCCTATCTATCGTTCTTCCTATGGGTATTACAACAGAGCATCAAATTGATTCCAACTTTTTACTGATGAACTCAAGTTGGCATACATAGTGCTCCTTCTTCAATTTCTTCCCATAACAATCGTGCAAGTAGGTTGGGCTGAGAGAAAGTGAGTGACCCAAGTGATCTTCTGTGACTGAAGGTGACAAAATCTGGGTCTTTTCAGTGTCAGTCCAACACTTTAGCCATTATATCTATTAATGTTTACTGCCAATGGGGAAAATTACCAATAGGATATTCTGTCAAATATACTGAAATAAGTTGACCTGGAATTAGTTGTAACAAGAGACAATAATGTCACATAAAGTATATGGAGATAGCATCATACATTGCTGGAACTATGTACTTGTGTCCTGCTGGCTGATGTAAATATAAATTGAGACATTAGCATAATCAAACAATCATATCATTTGCTCCCCTTGTCCCCAAATGCCTAGGTTTTAAATAATTATGTGTCTTTGTATGGATAGAAGCTTTTCTTCAATTTGGAGTTTACAGCAGCTGCCGCCAAATGCATGGCAATACCAATTTTACCCCCTGCTCATACAATACAAGTACTTTCTCTCATCCCTGCTCCATAATTTAAGTTTTTCTATTTCCTTGAGACATCTTTCCTCTTAAACAGCCCCCACACGATGACATGAAAGCTTCATTGCACTTCTGTTCCCCTTTGAAATACTGTGATCACAGAATCAAACCAGACTATTGGTTATTGACTTATTGTATCAACCAATGATACAATTGAGCTCCTTCAAAATACGCATATTCCCACCTATGAAGCCTCCCTGCAAACATAAGGACAGTATAGTGCCACAGCAAGGGTGATCATTTAAAACACAAATGATTATTTGTTGCTTTGTTGGGATCTGTTTTTACTTACTCTCACTTCCTGTCTAAGTTCCAGGCCTCAGGAATTTCTCAGAGATGGTATGTTGTGAAGAAGATTCAATTGCTCATAGCAAGGCTGCATGTGGCAAACTGACTCATAGCAAGAGGTTCTGTTGCTTTTGTAATCATAACACCAAAAGGTAGCACTTCTAAGGGACTGCTTTAGTACTGTACATAAGGTATTTCCCCATCTCTTTCGTTACAAAATGTTAAGTATAAAATGTAGTGTTTGGTGATTTTCAGTTTGGTTCAATCAGCCAAATGCCAAGAGAGCATGTATTAGAATGTTCTCAAAGGGATTGTAATGTAAAATGAAATCAAGAGAAGATTTAATAACAGGAGGATACATTTGTCAATAGTTTGCTTATATGCAATTAATAAAAAGGTTTAAAATGGATAGACTATTTTACCATTTTAAATAAAATAAGACCAAGTTTGAAATAGAATTATATACTAATGATGAACATGTTACTGCTAAAATGTTGTTGCTGAAATTGAAAGAATGTATGACAAAATGGGCTAAGAAGTTTGGCTATAATATCCCAATAGGACCAATAGGAAAATATGTGGTTGAAATGATTGAAATTTACATTATGTTCTAGTCCAGTGGTTCTCAACCTGTGGGTCGGGACCCCATTTGGGGTCGATCGACCATTTCACGGGGGTCGCCAAGCAAGGCTGTCTGCCATTTTTTTTGTCCGCCATTTTTTTGTCCGCCATTTTTCCCCCCTTTTCCGGCGGGTGCCTTACCTCCCTTGGGCTGGGCCAGCTGGTGGTCGGCCTGCTCCGTCTCTGCCGCTTGCCAGTTACGCCTCGGCCGGCGCAGGGGGCGAAACCACGCATGCGTGGCGCTCCCGGGCAGGGAAAGTCCTCGACTTACGACCGGTTGGGCAGTCCTCGACTTACGACCGGTTTAGTCCTCGACTTACGACCGGTTTAGTCCTTGACTTACGACCGGTTGGGGTCGCGGCATTAAAAAGGTTGAGAACCACTGTTCTAGTCTAACTTTTTTTAATAAAATGATGTGTCATAGAAGCATAAGGCTGGAAGGGACTTTGGAGGTCTTCTAGTCCAAATATTGTTGGTATTTGTCACCAGAGAAATTGTCTAGCAGGTATAAAGGCATTTCGGATCTTTGCTGGAAATGCAAACAACATGAAGGGACATTTTATCATGCTTGGTGGACATGTAAAAAAGCTTAAAAATGGATAGAAATTCACACACTAATTCATATGTTTTTAAAGGTGAAAATACAATTGAAACCAGGGACCTTTATTTTGGGACTAATAAACACCACTAGAAAAAAATCATGGAATGTTTTTCTTATATGCCTTGGTAAGGCCACACTTGGAATACT